CCAAGTGCTTCAAAATGGTTTCCTTGAGGACCTGCTCCATGATTTTTCAAGGGACTGAGGTGAGGCTGACCGGTCTGTTCGTTTTAAGAACACTTTCACTGCAGATTTGACAAAATGCAAAGAAGGTACCAACGTGAGATTTCTAAAAAGATAGCTACAGCACTCTACCCAAGGTTTAAGAATCTGAAGTGCCATCCGAAATCGGATTGTGACGGGGTGTGGAGCATGCTTTCAAAAGTCTTAAAAGAGCAACACTCCAATGAGAAAACTACAGAATCCGAACCACCAAAAAAGAAAATCAACCTTCTGCTGGTGGCATCTGACTCAGATGATGAAAATGAACATGTGTCGGTCTGCTCTGCTTTGGATCGTTATCGAGCAGAACCTGTTACCAGCACAGAAACATGTCCCCTGGAATGGTGGTTGAAGCATGAAGGGACATAAGAATCTTTAGCGCATCTGGCACGTAAATATCTTGCAACGACAGCTACAACAGTGCCATGCGAATGCCTGTTCTCACTTTCAGTGACATTGTAAACCAGAAGCGGGCAGCGTTATCTTCTGCAAATTGTAACCAACCTTGTTTGTCTGAGCGATTGGCTGACCAAGAAGTAGGACTAAGTGGATTTGTAGGCTCTAAAGTTTTACATTGTTTTATTTTTGAATGCAGTTATTTTTGTACATAATTCTACGTTTGTAAGTTCAACTTTCAGGATAAAGAAATTGCACTACAGTACTTGTAATGGGGAATTGAAAAAATACTATTTCTTGTTTTTTTACACTGCAAATATTTGTAATCAAAAATAAATATAAAGTGAGCACTGTATAAAAATGTAGAAAACATCCATAAATATTTAAATAAATTGAATTCTATTATTAACAGTGTGATTAATCGCAATTAGTGTTTTTAATCGCTTGACAGCCCTAGTAAACAGTGATGTGGCAAAATTTAAAGATGATACAAAACTACTCAAGATAGTTAAGGCCCAGACAGGTTGCGAAGAGCTACAAAAGGATCTCACAAAACTGGGTGACTGGGCAACAAAGTGACAGATGAAATTCAACGTTGATAAATCCAAAGTAATGCACATTGGAAAACATAATCCCATATACAATGATGGGGTCTAAATTAGCTGTTAACACTCAAGAAAGATCTTGGAGTCACTGTGGATAGTTCTCTGAAAACATCCACTCGATGTGCAGCGGCGTCAAAAAAGCGAACAGAATGTTGGGAATCATTAGGAAAGGGAGAGATAAGACAGAAAATATATTGCCTCTATATAAATCCATGGCACACCCACATCTTGAATGCTGCGTGCAGATGTGGTCGCCCCATCTCATAAAAGATATATTGGAATTGGAAAACGTTCAGAAAAAGGCAACAAATATTATTAGGGGTATGGAATGGCTCCCAATGAGGAGAGATGAATAAGACTGGAACTTTTCAGCTTGGAAAAGAGATGACTAAGGGGGGGGCTATGATAGAGGTCTATAAAATCATGATTGGTGTGGAGAAAGTCAATAAGGAAGTGTTATTTACTCCTTCTCATAATGCAAGAACTAGGGGGTCACCAAATGAAATTAATAGGTAGCAGGTGTAATACATACAAAAGGAATTATTTTTTCACACAACACACAATCAACCCGTGGAACTCCCTGCCAAAGGATGTGGTGAAGGCCAAGACTATAACAGGGGTCAAAAAAGAACTAGGTAAGTACATGGGGGGATAGGTCCATCAATGGCTGTTAGCCAGGATGGGCAGGAATGGTGTCCCTAGCCTCTGTTTGCCAGAAGCTGGGAATGGGCGACAGGGGATGGATCACTTGATGATTCCCTGTTCTGTTCATTCCCTCTGGGGCACCTGGCACTGGCCGCTGTCGGAAGACAGGATACTGGGCTAGATGGACCTTTGCTCTGATCCAGTGTGGCTGTTATTTACTGCAGAGCCGTGGCACCGCCCCCCAACAGGGTCTCCCCACCCCTGGAACAACCTGGGCCCCTGCCCCACCCATTACAGTGCCAGGCCCGCGGGAGGTCTGCGCCACGGCCCAGATCGCTACCCACCAGTGCCAGTCAGAAGTTGGGCAGCCCTGGGGATGGTCTCATGGACCAGGAAAATCCCCTCCCGCTCTAGGTGTGACGAGCCTGCGGAACGTACTGCCACCAGACACAATGTGGCCGGGCGCTTAGAGTCCCATTTCTCTAATGCTGGAGACAGGAATGCCAATGTGTGTGGGAAGGGGAGGAACCGCCAGCCCGGCAGGCTCCCAGGGCCCCCCGGTAGGTCCCGGCCCTCGCTGCCTACCTGGATCCGGCTGTTGCCCCAGTCGGCCACGATAATGTTGCCGTTGGAGTCCACGGCCACACCGGTGGGGGCGTTGAACTGCCCGTTCCCCTCCCCGTGGGAGCCGAACTTGAAGAGGAACTCGCCGTCGGCGCTGTACACCTGGGTGGGGAGGGGCTCGTCACCCCGCCAGCCCCTGACCCAGTGCTGGGCTGGCAGGGACCCGCCCAGCTGGGAGGAGGGCTACGAGCCGCGCTGGGACAGAGCTGGAACCTGGAGGAGGCGCTGGCTCGACGGAGGGCTGCCACGGGCTGGGAAGCCCCTGGAGCATGGGACTCGGGCAGGCTGAGGGGGGCCGGGCTGGCGCCGGGGAACGGGCAGCGAGGGAGAGGCCAACTCCACACTCCACAGCAGACAAGCTTGGTGGCGACCTTGTAACCGCTGTGCTCTGGGCTCCCCAAGGACACCCCATGCTGAGGCCAGGGACTGACGAACCCAGCACTGCCCTGAGCTGCGGGGCTCCCAGCTGTGGGGGACGGGGGGGGGGGGAGCACTGCGGCTCCCAGCTGGACGCGGCGGCAGGACATGGCCCCCCAGGACCCGTCACGGCTGGACGCGCTGGGCAGAGCTCAGCCGAGACGCAGGTGGCCAGAGCGCAGGGGGTCAGTCTCTGGGGCGCTGAGGCGCCGTGTGGAGAGGGAGAACGGAACCCCGGGGTCTGGCCCGCTGAAGGGTCCCTCCCAGGGCCCACCCTGTGGCTAGTTGCCGGGGCACGGGCAGAGCCCAGGTCAGGGCCAGGGCCCGACTCACCTTCACCGAGTGGTTGTGGAAGTCGGTCACCACGATCTCGTTCTTGTTGTTAACAGCGACGAAGTGGGGCCCTGGGAGGAGAGAAGGAAACCCCTGAACCTGCCTCAGCGCACGGGGCTGGAGTGGGCTCCGCTCGCGGGGCAGGGGGAATGAGCGCCTGCCTCGTGGCGGGGCAGGTCTGCCAGCTCTCCTGGGGATGGGGCAGGGAGGGCCACACGCCTGGGCAGCGGAGGTTAATGCGCGGTGAATGCTGTCAGAGCAGCTGGTGAGCCTGGGCCCTGGGGTGGGCGTGTGGGGAGGGGCAGTTAGTGACCACAGCAGCTGCCAGACCCATTAGAGAGGGAGAGACCTCAGCAGGAAACACCAGCCGGGAAGGGCATCACAGCCATTCAGAGGAGAAGTGCTGAGAAAAGAGAGAAAAGAACCCAGGAGTCCAGGCTCCCAGCCCCCTCCTGCTCTAACCATCAGACCCCACTCCCCTTCCAGCTGGGAGAGAACCCAGGAGTCCTGGCTCCTGGTCCCCTCCTGCTCTAACCACTAGACCTCACTCCCATCCCAGAGCCAGGAGAGAACCCAGGAGTCCTGGCTCCCAGCCCCCCCTGCTCTAACCACTAGCATCCACTCCCCTCCCAGCTGGCTTCTGGTCCCCTCCTGCTCTAACCACTAGACCCCACTACCCTCCCCAACCAGAATAGAACCTGCCCCGCCACCCTAACCCAACCCAACCCACCAGACCCCACTCCCCTCCCAGCTCAGATAGAACCCAGGAGTCCTGGCTCCCACCCCCTGCTCTAACCCACCAGCCCCACTCCCCTCCCAGACAGGAGAGAACCCAGGAGTCCTGGCCCCCAGTCTCACACTCAGGCCACGAGGGTGCGCTGCCTGTCCAAGCACCCTGCAGCCCAGCGGAGTGAAGGTGGTTCCCGAACTCACCAGGCTGGCCAGCAGCAAGCCAAAGGCATGCAGTAGTAAGGACCTGCAGGTCGCGGTATTACCATCGAGGGTACCTGCAAACTGCCGCTCCGCCGTCCCGCGGCCACCAAACTTGGTCACCAGCTTCCCGTTGGACTGGAAGATGAAGACGCAGCAGGCCTTGTTGTCCACCACGATGATGTGGCCATTGCGGTCCACGGCCACGCCCTTGGGGCCCATCAGCCGCCCAGCCCCGATCTTCGTCTGCAGCGGCAGGGAGCAGGACATTGGATCACGTGGCCTGGGGGCTGGAACCTGTAGGAATCCTGCCTCCCTCCACCCAGCCCCGCGTCTGGAATGGGAACAGCCTCCAGCCCCCAGGGCTGGCATGTCCCCAATAACCTATCCCTGCGGAAGGGCCCCCGGGCTGGGGGCTAGACCCCGCTATTCAACCCCTCGGGTGCTGCTCTGCGGGCTCGTTACGGGGCACAAGAACGGCTATACTGGGTCAGAGCAAAGATCCATCTAGCCCAGTATCCTGTCTTCCGACAGTGGCCAATGCCAGGTGCCCCAGAGGGAATGAACAGAACAGGGAATCATCAAGTGATCCATCCCCTGTCGCCCATTCCCAGCTTCTGGCCAACAGAGGTACCATCCCCGCGCATCCTGGCTAATAGCCATTGATGGACCTATCCTCCATGAACTTACCTAGTTCTTTTTTGAACCCTGTTACGGTCTTGGCCTTCACAACATCCTCTGGCAAGGAGTTCTACAGGTTGACTGTGCATTGTGTGAAAAAATACTTCCTTTTGTTTGTTTTAAACCTGCTGCCTATTAATTTCATTTGGTGACCCCTAGTTCTTGTGTTATAAGAAGGAGTAAATAACACTTCCTTATTGACTTTCTCCACACCAGCCATGATTTTATAGACCTCTATTATATCCCCCCTTACGTGTCTCTTTTCCAAGCTGAAAGTCCCAGTCTTATTAATCTCCCCTCATACGGAAGCTGTTCCATACCCCTCATCATTTTTGTTGCCCTTCTCTGTATCTTTTCCAATTCCAATATATCTTTTTTGAGATGGGGCGACCACATCTGCACACAGTATTCAAGATGTGGGCGTACCATGAATTTATATAGCAGCAATATGATATTTTCTGTCTTCTTATCTATCCCTTTCTTAATGATTCCCAACATTCTGTTGGATTTTTTGACCCCCACTGCACATTGAGTGAATGTTTTCAGAGTACTATCCACAATGACTCCAAGATCCCTTTCTTGAATGGAAACAGCTAACTCAGACCCCATCATTTTATAGGTATAGTTGGGATTATAAAGACAACGAGGAGTCCTTGTGGCACTTTAGAGACTAACAAATGTATTTGGGCATAAGCTTTCGTGGGCTAGAACCCACTTTATCAGGTGCAGGGAGTGGAAAATACAGTAGCAGGTATATATACACAGTAGATGAAAAGATGGGAGTTGCCTTACCAAGTGCTGGGGTCAGTGCTAATGAGACAATTCAATTAAGGTGGAAGTGGGCTGTTCTCAACAGTTGACGAGAAGGTGTGAGTATTTAGCAAGGGGAAATTAGTTTTTGTAAAAACAACAAGGAGCCCTTGTGGCACCTTAGAGACTAACAAATTGATTTAGTTTTTGTACTGATTAGTTGGGATTCTGTTTGCCAGTGTGCATTACTTTTATCAACATTGAGTTTCATCTGCCAGTTTGTTGCCCCGTCACCCAGTTTTGTGGGATCTCTTCGTAGCTCTTTTGCCACCTCACTGTTTACCCCTTTCTCCAGATGAATATGTTGAATAGGACTGGGCCCAGAACCGACCCCTGGGGGACACCACTATTTACCTCCCTCCAGTCTGAAAACTGACCATTTATTCCTACCCTTTGTTTCCTGTCTTTTAAACCAGTTACCAATCCGTGTCTGACAATTTTGTTCTTTACTATAGTTTCAACCAGTTTGCCCAGTACTAAAGTCAGACTTACTGGCCTGTAATTGCCGGATCACCTCTGGAGCCCTTTTTAAAAATGGGTGTCACGTTAGCTATCCTCCAGTCACCTGGTGCAGAAGCTGATTTAAGCAATAGGTTATAGATTACAGTTAGTAGTTCTGCAATTTCACATCTGAGTTCCTCCAGAACTCTTGGGTGAATCCCATCTGGTCCTGGTGACTTACTGCTGTTTAATTTATCAATAAAAAGAACAGGAGTACTTGTGGCACCTTAGAGACTAACAAATTTATTAGAGCATAAGCTTTCGTGGACTACAGCCCACTTCTTCGGATGCATACAGAGTGGAGCATATATTGAGGAGATATATATACACACATACAGAGAGCATGAACAGGTGGGAGTTGTCTTACCAACTCTGAGAGGCCAATTAAGTAAGAGAAAAAAAATTTTGTACATGGCAGAGGGGCATTGCTGGCACATGATGGCATATATCACATTGGTAGATGTGCAGGTGAACGAGCCCCTGATGGTATGGCTGATGTGATTAGGTCTGTTGTAATATAGCCACCCGCAGGTCTGACATTGAATGACCAGACAGGTTAAAGTGTTCTCCCACTGGTTTTCGAGTATTATGATTCCTGATGTCAGATTTGTGTCCATTAATTCTTTTGCGTAGAGTCTGTCCGGTTTGGCCAATGTACATGGCAGAGGGGCATTGAATAGACTTCAAAAACAGACTTCAACGAGAGACTGCTGAGCTGGAATTGATATGCAAACTAGACACAATCAACAAAGGATTGAATAAGGACTGGGAATGGCTGAGCCATTACAAACATTGAATCTATCTCCCCTTGTAAGTATTCTCACACTTCTTATCAAACTGTCTGTACTGGGCTAGCTTGATTATCACTTCAAAAAAAAATTTTCCCTCTTACTTAATTGGCCTCTCAGAGTTGGTAAGACAACTCCCACCTGTTTATGCTCTCTGTATGTGTGTATATATATCTCCTCAATATATATTCCATTCTATATGCATCCGAAGAAGTGGGCTGTAGTCCACGAAAGCTTATGTTCTAATAAATTTGTTAGTCTCTAAGGTGCCACAAGTACCCCTGTTCTTTTTGCGGATACAGACTAACATGGCTGCTTCTCTGAAACCTAATTTATCAATCTGTTCCCAAACCTCCTCTAATGACACCTCAGTCTGGGACAGGTCCTCAGATTTGTCATCTTGCTCAGCTCCTGGCTCAGGGGGACCTAGTGGCAGAGAGTTCCACAGGCCAGTTGTGAAGTGGGTTTCGAAGTGTTTCCTTTGCCCCAGTATACAGATGCTCCCTGTCAGGGTCTCCCCTTCATTCCATGGGGAGGGAGACACCCAAACCCACCATCTCTGCCCCAGGCAGGTCTTTCCCTCCCTCGATCCCGTCCCCTCTGGGCACTAACCGGCCCCTTGGTCACTCTCTGCCCTGCCCTCTCACCTTGAACTTGCCCTCGGGGGAGAAGATGCTGACCCAGCGGTTGTCATAGTCGGCGATGATGATGTCCCCGTTCATGTCGACCGTGACGCCGGTGGGGCGCTGCAGCTGCCCAGGGGAGCGGCCCCGCACGCCGAAGCGCAGCCGGAACTGGCCCTCATTGGAGAAGACCTGGTGGGGGCAGAGCAGGGCGGTCAGTGGGGAGAAGCGGGGGGGGGGGGGCGGAGGCGAGGGCGAGGCGA